ATATTAAAGAACTGTTCTTGTTAATTTGATGAAAACATTTTAAATATCCAGTGCACTCACATCAGAATAACTTTTAGATTTTTTGTTAGAATAATCGATTAATCGAAAAAATAATGATTAGATTAATCAATTAGAAAATAATCATTTGGTACAGCACTAATGAGGGGCAGCGGTGGGCTTTACTGCTGGTGAGCTCAACTGTACTGAGAACTGAACGAATCTTAGTTAATGAAGTGATTTGATTCAGTTCGTTCACTCAAATGAACGAATCATTTGAACGAATCACTCGTGAACGACACAAGTCCACAGACCCTTAATACACTGGCATGTCTTTGGATAAAACTGCAAACCACAAGTTTCTTCCCAAGGTGTCATAGCAGGATATAACTTTGGTTTGCAGAGTTGCAGAATATTAAACATATTTTAAAACGTGGAAWTTTTTTTTCCATTTTTCTATAGTTGAGAAGACCTAAACCCTGCTATTAAAACCATGAACTAATAAAGAAAACAGGAGAGTTTTTCTGTTTTGTTCCTTGCTGTCCATGTCAGTTTGTTTTGGGCTGACTTTATTACAGTGTAACAATAAAAATTAAGTTTCTAATATTAATGTAGTGGAAAAATAACCCGAGACTGTATCTTTGGCTTTCCTGAGTTCAACAACATTTGAAAACTGAATTCTTCTCTCTAAGAGTTTAAACAGGTRTTGCTACAAAAGGAAGACTAAAAAGCATCAATTGTCCAATGAAAAGTATAGACTATCACTGAGAGACAGACACGTCGTAATTATAATAACGATAAAGATGATGATGATGATGATGATGATGATGAGACTGAGGAAAAGCAGCATGAGGCCAGAAAGGATCAGGAGATTACTGTCGTCTGTCTGAGCTGGGCTGTTTGTGTGTGGATGGGATGAAAGGAGCAGTTGGGACTCAGTTAATTTGGTGTTTTATCTAAAAGCAGCCAGTCTGAAAACCAGTGATTCACTTGAGTCTGCCCAGTCTGACTCAGAACCACCYGCCCAGACTGTTGTTCATGTGACAGAAAGTACAAGATACAAGTTTTGTTTGTATACTTTGTTATTCCAGTGCACCTAAATCCTTCTCAGTGCCAGCCAGGTTGTTTGAAAAGTTATACAAACCCAGTTTCATGTAAGGGTCACCAACAAAAGGTGCTCAGGGGAAAGAAATGTTTTTCATAAACTCTGGTGAGTCGGTCTTTGCTTTAAAAAGTGAATGAGTAAATGATTTATAGGCCCAGCATATTACCCACATCCCTTCATGCAAGAGCTTTAAAGAAAACCTATTACACAAAATGTTCCTGATTTTATCTTTATTAATCACTGATTGTTTGGATTTAAAAATCAGTTCAATATATCATATAGAGGACAAACACAGTGATATTTGAGAAGTGAAATGAAGTTTATGATTTACAGAAAGTGTGCAATAATTGTTTAAACWAAATTAGGCAGGTGCATAAATTTGGGCACCATAAAAAAAACTTAACCTCAATATTTAGTAGCTAATCCTTTTAAAGAAAAAACAGCTTCTAAACACTTCCTACAGCTTCTAATGAGAGTCTGGATTGTG